CTTGGGCCTCCCCAGCAATGGGTGAGCATGGGGTGCCAGAAAGCCTCAGCCCCTGCTGCCTTGTGGGTGACCCCGTGGAGGGGAAAAGCTAGGGTAGAACACCCCGAAGAACAAAGCAAGGGCCCAGACTCACTGTGAGCTCTGAGGTGGGGCCCTGACCAGGTGAAGGGGCCAGAGACAGTGCCCAGACTCACTGCGAGCTCTGAGGCTGTATTAAGGAGCCAAGTGTGTGGCTCCAGGGGGGTGGGTCCCTGAGCCAGTGGGGAGTGATGTGTGAAGCTCCTGGGGTGAGAGGATAAGGGTATTGTAGCCCAGCATATGGCAGGGGATGTGGCCCAGTGTACAGCAGGGGATGGGGCTTGGAACCCTGAATGGGTAGGGGTTGGGAGCCCTAAGCAATGGGCTCGGAGTCCTGAAGTGAGAGAGGGCTTGGAGCCCTGAATGGGTAGGGGCTGGGATCCCTGACCAATGGACTGAAGGAGAGCCCAGTGTTAGGGCACAGTGACTGTATGCTCCAGTGAGGAGTGAGAGTTCCAGGTGAGACTCTGGAGCATGGGTCACAGTGTGAGGCACTGGAGTAACATGGATGTCTCCTTTGAGGCATGGGACACGGTACAGGGAAGGCCGGAGCCATGTATATGGGCCCTTGGCATCAGGGCAGGTAAATGGGTAGCCTCCCACCTTATTGACATCTTTCAATCGTTATCATTAAGGCATGGCAGGTGAGGTAGGCAGGTGGTTTACCCAGAGACAAGTGGGTGGGCCAATGATCTGACTGGCCCCGGGATGCCCATGTGTTACACCATGTGAATCAACTTCTGCTTGAACCCTACAGTGTACATGTATTTTTTTTTTGGTTTTCCTATTGTTTCAGGTCTTTAAAATAGTGCCTTGCTTTTTACACTTTTTCCAATGAAACTTGGTTGTTACACCAAATAGCTTCAACAATATTTAAACCAGCCTATAATGATATTCTGCATTATTGAGTCACTCAGTATTTGCTAAAAGCTAATAAGAGCTCACTGGTACCTGTATTTACAGGCACAATCCTCACTCAAAATTTTTTTCAGTCTAATAACTATATTCCGTGGCGTACTTTGGCATTTTCTAGCTCTTATTTTCTCTGGCAAATGTTTGTCTGTAACTTCCCATGGGAGTCTGCCTTATCCCATCAGCTGTATGCCACACAGAAACAGACAGTTGGTACTGCAGCAGATAAAAGGCAAAGAAGTAAGCTACACACAAACCCCAGTGCTGGACTGATGCCCCTCCAGGTGTAAGATCTTTTGTGACTGTGCTACCTGTAAGTGTGTGATGCATGAAGAAAGCAGGTACGTAAATAATATCACCAGTCAGCTCAGCATTCTACATAAGCCCCCTTTCTTCATGTATATCAGGAAGGAGCAAAGTGAGCATAAGGTAAAACAGCCTGTAGAGGGTTTAACGTATGCTCCCAGGAAAGAGCATGTACCATAGCAACCAAGGAAAATGCAAATGCACAAATGCAAGACGCAGCCCTATAAACAAAGAATACCAGCTGCACAGCTTCAAAAGTGAGAACTAGTAGGAAGCTGGTAGATACCACACTGGTGAACACTGTAGTAACATCCTAAGTTAATGGACAGCAAGACAGAAGGACCATGTCAGTATTTTCATATTTGCCTAATAGTATAACAACTGAAATTTATAAGCAAGGTGGAAAAAAAGCACTCTTACCAACTACACGTCATTATTATAAAAATCTGGAAATATGAACAGATTCCTAGTGACTCAAGGAATGCCAGAAACATTACCATATTCAAGAAAAGAGATTGATTGGATTGTAGCTATTACTATGGTATTGCATTAGCTGGGAAGATTCTTGCCCACATTCTCCTCAATAGACTTACTTTCCTCACTGAGGAGATTCTATCCAAGTTCCAGTGTGGTTTTAGACCACTAAGAGATGCAATAGATATGATCTTGGTTGCTAGACAGCTGCAAGAGAAGTGCTGCAGGCAATACTGAGATCTTTACATAGCTTTTATTGACTTGACTAAGGCCTTTGATTCAATCAACAGAGAAGCCCTATGGAAGATACTGATGAGATTTGGATGCCTGCCAAAATTTACCATTATCAGACTTCTTCACAACAAATGACAGCAGCCATGGACCTCGTCATTATTAGAACTGGAGTCAAGCAAGGATGTGTTATAGCGCCAACACTTTTCCATCTATATTGCAGCTATTCTGCATCTCACTGCTGACAGACTTCCAAATGGAATCAGCATCCAGTATTGCACATATGGGAATCTCTTTAATATCAACCTGTTAAGTTCTAAATCCAAGATAGCCAACACTTCCATTACTTATTTTCAATACACTAACAATTGTGTCCATTCCATTGAAAAGCTTCAGGTTACTTTTGATTGCTTCTGTGAAGCATATGAAACGCCTGGACTTACTGTCAACTTCACAAAAACCAAGCTACTGTATCAACCCATTCCAAAGCAACCAGCTGCTCCTCCACATAGTATAAGTAGAGGGTAATCCTTGAACAAGCTGAGCATTTTCCCTACCTGGCTAGTCACCTTTCCCAAGAAGTAAACAGATGATAATATTCAACACCAGATAAAATACTCCAGTGCTGCCTGTGGACATCTCTGAAATCAGGTCTTTGATGATTGTGACATCAGGACCTGAACCAAACTTCTCATCTACCCAGCTATTGTCATCCTTACCCTGTTGTATGGGGGCGAAACTTGGACAACATATCAGAAACACCTGAAAGCTTTGGAACATTACCATTAGTGATATCTTCAGAAAAGCCTCTATACCAATTGGAAGGACAGAAAAGTGAACACCATTGTTCTGGTTCAAGCAAATTCTACCAGCACTGAAACCACGTTTATGAAGCACCAGCTCTTATTGGACAAGACGTGTCATGAGGATGCCTGACAACCAGCTCCAGAAACAGGTCCTATACTCCCAGCTCACCGATGGTCACTGCTTTAGAAGTAAGCAAAAGAAAAGATTCAAGGACATCTTAAAGGCCAATCTGAAGAAGTGTAATATTAGCATCAATACTTGGTAGACTCAAACACTGAATTGCCCCTAATTCTGCCATGATGTACAATCAGTTATTTCAAGCAAACTCACCTCACCATGGAGGTGGAGACAAAAGGAAAGAGCTGTGAGCTGACATCACCATGACTTACTTCATCCTCCTGGAACTATTTGCCACATCTCTAATTGAACATGAGGATCTTGGATCAGCCTCATCATCATCTAGGGATTTACTGATGACTTCCCTATTTACTGGAAGACTGTCAACCTCATATCAAGGGACTGCTGCCATCACTAATGACAATGTTCCCCTGGCTCATCTCTTGTGAGTGGCTGTTCTGAATGGGATAGTAAGCCAGTGAACTCCTTCTCCAGGTTAGGACAAGTGGCACCCAAGTCTCTTTTAGACCCTCTCCTCAAGGGACAGTTTATTACCTCTAATACAATACTTTGCAATATAGAACCAAACAAAACTATTACCAGACCAAGACAGGCTCAGTGAGTCCAGATGATTTTCTGTCTCCCACTATTCTCCTCCCACCATACTCTCTCAGCCAAATACAGGAACCACTAAGCCTTTCCCCAATTGAATCTTACAACTGAACAGGGTAGCATGGACCCATGCTTTTTTACCCTTAAATGGGTAGACCCTCCTATAAAAGGGGCGTTGTGGATTTCCTTCGTTACTCCTTGCTGTCTGAGTTGCATGCATTGAAAATCTATGCTGTCCATCCATCACAGGGCCGGTTACCATGCACATTCTCTGTTGCTATGGTTTATTTCCATTTAACAGCATGCTCTGGCACATTGGTAACTCATGTTGCCTAAACCCTTTCCTCGTATAGGTGGTATATGCTCCTGCTAACTTGTCCATACATTGAGTGTGTGTTCCTACCCAAGATTGAGAGATCATAGACTGAAGCTTGTGTTTGCACATTTCATTGCAATTTTCTTCAATTTTTCTACCTTCGTCATGCAATTTTGTACTTGAGGGGCAAATAAGGAACAGGGTTTTCATGTGTGCCAGGTATCCTATCAGAGTTAAGCTTATCTGGAAAGGCAGTTCCTTGAACAATCTCTCATGTCCATGATCAGAATGAAACATAATAGCTCTCCTCACCTGTCATAATTAAGAGGCAAACATGTTTTTACTTATTCAAGCAGTACAAGTCAGCTGTCCTCCCTCCACTGGACTCATCCATATAAGATGAAATGGCACTTTTCCTCTAAGGCTATATCCACATATGCAGGGACATACACTTGTACTGGCACAAGTAATAGTGGCACAAATTTGTGCCAGTAATTTGTGCCTCAGTGCACATGCCTGAACATGGCTTTGTCACAGGACAAACTGTGCCACTTTGGGCAAACTGCTGTTGCCCAGCTCCTCCTGGCTCTTCAGCTGGAGGCTGGGGCCAGAACCAGCAGTATAAACTGGGGGCCTGGTGAGCAACTCAAGGCTACTTGCCCTCAGAAGCTTCTCAGGCCCAGCCAGTTCTGTCTTGGGACACTAGCTCCCTGTGCCAGCTGGTCTGCATCAGCCCTGACCTAGAGTGGCACCCTGTACCCACTGCCTCAGTCTGGCAGCAGGGACTGCCACCTTGCTGAGACCCACTGCCACCTGCTACAGCATCTGTTCCCTTGGACCTGTGGCCCCATGGCTGCATCCAGTCATGCATGCATCATGGTGCATCCAGTAAAGCAGCAGCAGAGTCAGGCAGCCAGAAACATTGTTGCGGGTAAGAAACACCCCTTCCAATGGCAGTACATGGGAGCCAGAGTGAGTGAAGCTATCAGCACTCATCTGCAAGCCCACATCCCTGAGTAGAGCACCAATCTTCTCACCATCTGCACCAGGCCACCTGCCCAGGGGTCTCCATCCCTGGCCACTGCCAGAACTGCAACAACATAAGCTATGTGGCTGTGATGAAAACAAAAGCAACTTTATTCCCCCTCCTTCTCTCCAACACCAACAGTACTTCACATGAGACCCTCCACAACCTCACCACCATGCACCCAGCCCCCACCCATGCACAAACCCATTCAAAACCAGAAATAAATGGCAACTATTCACACAAGCATCAGAAGCAAGAAAAAGGGTCCTTAGGAGTGAGGGAAACACCAGGGGAGGAGGTGCAGTTAGAAGGGAATCAGGGGTTCGCAGCCCCTTGGCCCTGACCCAGGCCTTGGCCCTGTGTGCGACCACCCTACGTGTGGGGGCCATGCTGACGTGGCTGGGGCCCCAGCTGCTCTGGGGAGGAGGCTGGGTGCTCCTCCTCAGAGGCAGATGCTGCATTCAGGCCCAGGATTGGGAAACGGAGAAGCAGGAGCAATGCTTCTCTGCAGCAGACGCCGTGGTCCCTGCTGAGGTGCCAGCTGAGCCACCAGCCAGGCATAATACTTCCAGCTGGGCCCTGCCCCTGGTGGTGGGGTCATGGGCTGGCCAGGGGGACCTGGTGCCTGTGCTGGGGCTGGCATGGGCTGGGGCACAATGGCAGGGGCAGCTGGGGTGGGGATGGCAGCCAAGAGCTGCTGCAACACCCTGCACTCTTCCTGGATGGCAGTATTGATGGAGGCCCACAGTTGCCTCAGCTCCTTGTAGCTGTCCTGGGGCAGCTGCCACTCCTCCCTTGGGACTCTTCAGTCTGGAAAAGTGCAGGCTCAGGGGGGACCTGGTGGCTACCTATAAGTACACAAGGGGTGTTCATCAGGATCTGGGAGAATGTCTGTTCACCAGAGCACCCCAAGGAAAAACAGGGACCAACAGTCATAAACTCCTACAAGACCATTTTAGGCTGGACATAAGAAAAAATTACTTTACTGTCTGAGTGCCCAAGACCTGGAATAGACCCCCTCCATATGTGGTGCAGGTACGTACTCTGAACTTATTCAAGAAATGCTTGGATGATTATCTTGCTGGGGTCCTTTACTCCTAGCTGACTTCCTGCCCCTGGGGCAGGGGCTGGACTTGATGATCTTTGAGGTTCCTTCCAGCCCTAATGTCTATCAACTCTATGAAATCTTGTCTCTACCACTAGCTGCTGCAGGGACACCCTCCTGCCTGCACCGCCTCCAAAACAAGGGCCTGGTCATGGTGGGAGCAGTAGAACTTGGCCAGGACCTTCTGGTACGCCCATTCTGTCCAGAGCAACTCCTCCTGGACACTGTCCCACTGTGTGTGTGTTGCTCTTGGCATAGGCAGCATACCTGGATGATCCCTGCAGTGCCTGAAAGTGGTTGGGCAGCTTCCAGGTGCTGGGCAGTGGCCTCTCCCTTGGCAGATAAGCTGTCTGTAGAGAAAGTAAATGGAGGGCAATCTTCAGCTACAGCAATATGGTGAGAGGTGAAAACAGGACTCAGCAAGGGTCCCCAGGGAGTAGCCTCACTCTTGGGCATGGAGCCAGGCAGATGGCCCCCAAGCCAGAGCAATGTGGGGCTGGCACCCTGACAAGGACTGTGGCCATCTTGAGGTCTGCCTGTCCTTTCCCATTCTCTGGGTGTCCTGATGCCCAAAGGGCCACACCTTGCTCATGGCCTCCATGGGGTCCCACCTAGAGGGATCCTCCCAGGGACAAGTGTCACATCCAGCCCAGCCTGTGGTACTTGGCTTCTCCCCCTACCAGGATCAATGCATCGTTCCACAACCCCCAGGCCCTCAGCCACCAGCTCCAGCAGCTGTGGAGCTGCAGCCCAATGGACACATGGCCCTGGGAACACCACCTCCCCCCTGGCCTCATGGCCAGGACCAGCTCCATCCAGCTGGGAGTGCTGGCAAGGCAGGGAGACTGTCCTGCTCCTGCTGAGAAGGGAGCCCCCGCACAGCAGAGGAGTGGGGGTCAGGAGAGGAGAGACAGAGGTGGCAGAGATGGGTTTGGGCTTTGGGTTAGGGCACAAGGAGGAGTGGACCAGGGGAGAAGAGAGGGGATGGGGTGGGTCCCAGTTCCCCATGCCCTCTGCCAGACTTTCTAGGCTGTGGTGACAGGTGGTCGCCTTGGCCAGGAGACTGCAGTTCCTGGGTCCTGGGTTGAGGGGGAGCCAGAGCCGGACCTGGCCTCAGATAGGGGTGAGGCCTGGTAGTGAGGCCACTGAGGTTTGGCCTCCACTGACATGTGTGACATCCCAGCCCATCCTCAGCCTCCACACCATTCCCACTGGTGTCACACAGGAGTTGTGGGACCTGCCACTCCAGTGTCACTTCAGGCTTGGCTGTGGCAGTGGGTCCTGACTGTGACATGAGTCCATCTTCACCATCACTCCCAACATGGCTGGGCAGCAGTGCTATTGCAGATCTGGAGGAGGGCCCTGAAATTACCTGTGCAATGCCTTGGCCTTGCTCCTCAACTGTTTCCCTGTTTAGGCCTGCCCCTGCTTGGCCTTCTATGCAGCAATTGCCCAGTAAACATGTTTGTTCCGGTATCCCTGGGTCAACTGCTACAGTATAGCCTCCTCGCCTGAAGTGACCAGGAGGTCAGTAACCTCCTCAGGCTGCCAGATCGGTCCCCAGTGTCTGGCCTGGGCAGAATCCTGCAGCTGGGTCCCCCTACCTGCCTCACCATGGTCGCTCATGCTGCCCACAGCAGACCCCAGTGCCTCCAGCTGCTCAGTGGTGCCTGCAGCTATGGCCTGGGTACCCCTCACGCAGAGGTCCTGGTCTGGCTTGCCAGAGCCCAGGCCTCTGGGGCCAGGCCTCTGGAGAAGTGGCAAGGCTGCTCCTTGTGCCCAGCTCTAAGAGATTCCAGCTGACCCTGGGTGCCTCTGTGGGGTCAGAACAGGCCCTGGATGCCCAGCAGGCTCAGCAGCAGGCAGTTGTGAGCCCTGCCATGTTTTTGATTGCTCCCAGCATGCCATACAGTGTGTTGGAGCAGAAGAGGCACAAACAGAGCACTAGAGATGCCTGGCCAGTAGCCAGCACATTGCACTGGAGGACCAGGCCTCCGTTTGTCCCGGTGCATTTTTTTCACATGCTTTCCATCTTTTTTTTTTTCCAATACTTTTTTTTCAAGAGCTCATTTTGACCTCGCGCTGCAAATCAGCAGCTCAGCGCATGTTGTAACGTTCAATACGTGTGGTTTGTGGCACCACAGATTTGTGGCATCACAAACTGCACATGCCTTCATATGTGGAGGTGGCCTAAGGAGTTAAACCAATCACAATACAATATTTGAATTCAAAGCCTATACAATTTGAAAGATAAACTGACAGTAGCCAAAGCAACCACTGCTGGACAGTCAGATGCCTGGAGAACTAATCCTTAACTCCATCCTTTTCTATTCCCTCTTTCTGTTCTCTCTCTTCCCCAACAAATGTCAACTGACAGCGACATTTACTGAATTGAGGTGAAAGGTAATCACAGCAGCACAAGATGTATACCCAGGTGTTTCAGGTGAAAAATCGGGTTTCCATGAACCAAAGTCCCTAGTATCAGTTTGCTGTGCATGCACTGGAGTTAAGCCCTCAGCCATATTCTCCATTGTTGCAGAGCTGTACTAATGGACAAACCTGGACAGTAGGACCATGCGAAGCTTCAGATGCTGATTCGATTCGGGGGAGATTTGGCCCGATTCGGAGGCCAAATCCCCAAATTCAAATAAAATTAGGAGACCAATTAAAAGGTCCGAATCGATTTAAAGCTCTCCACGTTGATTCAAAAAAGATTTGGAGAGCTTCCAAGATTTGAGCAGCCCTACTCGCTGCCGCAGGGAGCTGGACCATGCTGGTAAGTAGGCGGCAGGGGAGGGGGGCTGGAGGAAGGGGCAGGAGACCATGGGGGGACCCCTGCCTGCTCTCAGAGCCCGTCTGAGCACCCCCCCACCCCCCACCCACTCTCCCAGCCCCCCCGCCCCCTGGCTGCCCCACCCAGCCCCAGCTCTTGGCTCTTCAAAAAAAAGCCTCTACTCACCGGCAGCTGCCAGGCAAGGGGGAAATTCCCACTTCCCCCCACTGTGTGGGGGGCTTTGCCACAAGCCCCCACCCCCCACCCACTCTCCCAGCCTCCCCCATGGCTGCCCCACTTGCCCCTGCTCCCGGCTCTTAAAAAAGGAAAAAAAAAGAAAAAAGCTCCAGAGTCACTGGCTGCTGCAGTGGCCTCAGGGCTTCCAGGGACTCATGGCATAGCCTACCTACCCATGCAGTGCAGAGCAGTGGGGACAGCGGAAATCATACCCCAACCTGGTAGGAGCCAGTGAGTGGGAGCTTTTTTTTTTTTTTAAGAGCTGACAGCTGGGGCTGGGTGGGCCAGCCATGGTGGAGGCTGAGAGCAGGCGGGGGTCAGGAGAATTGCGGCAGAGCCTCCCATGCAGCGTGGAGCAGTGGGGGGCAATGGGGATCGCTCCCCCCATGCAGCAACAGCTGGTGAGTAGGGGCTTTTTTTTTTCCTTTCTTAAGAGCCAGGAGGTGGGGCTGGGTGGGGGATAGAGGCTTGTGACAGAGCCCCTCATGCAGTGTGGGGCAGTGGGGGGCAGTGGGGATCACCTCCCTGCCTGGCAGCAGCCGGTGACTGCGGGCTTTTTTTTCCCAAAGAGCCGGGAAGTGGGGCCAGGCAGAGCAGCCATTGATGGGGCTGGGGGAGCGGGAGGGGATGGGGCTGATTCAGAGATTCGGCTGCCGAATCAGATTTGGCTGAATCAATTTGGGACAGTGATTCAAATCACTGAATTGAATCACTGTCCCCCAAATCGGTCAAATCCGAATCTGAAGCAAATACTAGCTGCTTCTTCCAGGCCTACTGGACAGTGACTATGTAGAATGCTTATATGCAAATGCAGAGGCCATTGCATATTCTGTTACAGCTTAGCTGCTTAGTCCTGTGCCTTTAGTACAAGAATCTATCCCACTGCAAGAGGCAATGTTGATCCTGGGCCAAGGTTATCTTCTACTCTTTCTGAACAGGATCAGGGGGACTTGAACAGTCATCAGAGGCAAGCAAGGTTTTCTGTAGGATGGTATTCATACTCCTAATGTATTTTGACCCTATGAGAATAGTATTATTTGTGTCTGTTTTCAGTCTTTTACACTTACTAGTCTGGTTTAGATACTCAATACTTCCTTTTCTTCCTATGTGAGCTAACCTGAATCTTGTTCCTCCCAGGCCACGTGTTATATCAATCATTCATCCTAGCATTTAAACTCAGAAGACAGAAAATTTAACTACATTAAACTGACACATTATTTTAAATTCTCTCTCTCTCTTCCCACAGGCATTGAATATTAAGGCTACATTTCAATCACTCTATCTTGCTTCATACTACCCTGGAGATATTATTACTGTATTATGAACACAACCTTTCTCACTTTATTATTTCATTATAAGTGTTAACACCATCTCAGTGCAGTCAGATAATAGGTGATCTCTGTGATTAGCTTGCAAATTTGCAAGGAATTCTGGACAGATCCGAGGTTTGTTTCACTGCATCACATTTATATTTTAAAGCTCCAGCAGAGTCAGTGGAATGATTAAACGTGTCACAGACAGAACCTGTCAGAACCTGTCATTGCTCAGAGACTACAGTTTGCTTGGCAGTTCACTTTTGTTCTTTACTTGTCATTCCAGTAGCTAAGAGGAGCATACTCTTTCCTCCGTCTAATATCAACCCACCCAGCCAAACTGTCTAGGACAGCTCTGTGTCAAAAGGCTACAACAATGAATGATTTATCTGGGAAGCTAAAATTTGTGAGGAAAGTATTCTGAGAGCATCACTAAATACCCCAAATCCAGTTTAAGTTCACTGGTCCCAATCATCAGGGTCTTTAAAGTTTCCATAAAAAGCAATTGTCCTATAGAATGAATCCAATAAAAACAATCATATTTCTAATTATTATTTGTAAAACTGTAACATCAGGAGCACAAATTATGGGACCAAGATCCCATTGTGCTTGCTATGTACAAATACATAACAAAAGACAGTCACAAACAGCTCACAGTCTAGGAGCCCATCTACACTGGGAGCCTCTGCTATGCCAGAATAGCTGTGTCAGCAGAGCCCCCTAGTGGAGACATGTCATATGCTAGTAGAAGGGTTCCTAACAAAAGTCCTCTTCCATCAGCGTCGCTGTGCCTACACCAGAGGTTTTGCTAGCATACTTATACTGACACTGTGATCTTTTCACAACTCCTAGTCAGCATAGATATCGCAACTAAAATTTATAACGAAGAACAAGACCTAAGTATAAGATAGGCAGATGGCAAGGTAGAGGTACACCCTGGGTGTGTCTACACAAGATGTTTTACTGCGCATTAGACTAATCTAATTTGCAGTAAAGCATCACTGTCTAATGTGTGCAGGACTTACTA